TAGGAAACAGCTGGGCTATGTTACACGCCTCACACAGCTGACATCCTTTCAAGGTGAAAGAAATTGGGAGCTAATGTTGAGAGCCTGTGCCATGGATTGGGGTATAACTAATTGCTCTTGTAAAACTCTCTCCTGAAAGGCTTTGGCTCTGCTAGTTCTCTGAGTCAAGAATATTCCAAGGTTTAGTGAGTGGATTAGCAGAGTACATATTTTCAAAGTATAAAGCCTCTTCTTAGACTCTGGTGAGCATTATTTTTGGCAAAATACATTCCATCCTAGCTAAGAGCCTTGCATATTTTCTTCAATTGCATTTATTAGATGTTAGCAGAAAATACACGCACACACACACACACACACACACACACACAAAATCACACTAAAGCCCCACATTCTCATGTCGTATGTTAGAAAGATGAAGAGAATTGAGGTCTGAAGGTCTAGTTCTGTCATTTATTAGCTCTTTAATCTTAAACAAGTCAATTAGCCCCTGAAGTTTCTATTTCTTAAACTATAAAATACACTTAATCATTTCTCCATTGCAGCATAATAAATAAAATCACGTAAAAAAGGAGCTAAATGTCAATGTGGTATGGTGGCAAAAGTGTGTACTTTGCAGTCAGGAGGTGAAAACTCATTTTAAGATCCACACTTGCCTCTTCATACCTATGCAAACCTTAACAGCATCACAAGGAGTATTTTTTAAAAAGTAAAAAACCCCACAGCCAGCATATCACTATTGAGTTAACCAATCGAGTGTCATAGCTGACCCTCCAGTAGGTTTTCAAAGACTGTAAACAGCAAGGGAGGAGATTGTCCACTTTCTCCCCACCTGCCTCAATTGGCAGTGTGACTCCTTACCCACCGGGTTATCAGGGTTCTCCAATATTTTTTAACATGTATTTATATATAGAAAATATGCCATGTGACAAGTATGGTCTAAAGGATATGCAAAAGTCAATGTTGTTATTATTAATCTTTTATTGATGAGGACTGAGGCTATAAAGGTTAAGATCAAAGTCACATAACTAACTGTGAAAGCTCTCACATCCGGATTATGTGACTCCAAGGTCCATGGCAGAGTTTTAATCTCTATACTAAATTGTTATCTCTCCACCCTTGAATTTCCTTATCTGTGAAATGGGGATGATGACACTTGCCTTGCTAAATGGGTGAGAAAGTGAGAGTCTTTCTGGAAAGCAGATACTGGAGTAGAATAGTCTCAGTAAATGGTGTGCTCTGGTGGTGGAATGATGGTGGTGGGCAAGGCAGAGATGACAAAGATGCTAATTATGTTGATAATTGTCATTCCAGATGATAAAAATTACTTCACTGATGCTATTGAAGGTAGAAGGACCTAAATAGAAAACCAAATAAAACTATTTTTTCTTCCACCATCAAACAAAAGCATCCAGCACTTGTAAAACCTGTCAAAGTACCTTTTGAATGATGTCTTTGGTTTCTTTAGGTGTTTCGTCTTGTAGCTGAGGCTCTAATGTAACAAACAAGCCAGACATTAAAGTGATCACATTGGCTAAGGGGTTTATATCATATGCTGTAGGGCGAAAATATTTCAAAAAGATTATTCAGCTTTTTTTTTTTTAGGCATTCAGTAAATTTCACTTTAAAAAACAAACAAACAAACAAAAAAACACAAACCAAAACCTTCCATAAGCTCAGAGAACACTGAGCGACTTATTTGGGGTAGAAGAAGATAGCAATGAGAGTGGGAGGTCCTTTCACATAAGGATGTACAGTCAACATTTCCAATCTCGTATCGGATGTTTCTAAGAAGTCTCTGTTCTTACTCCTGCTGGTCCCATGCAGGCAATGTCATCAGGGAACTACCCAGTAACAAGATATGAAGATTTGGCTTTTTTTATGCCAAGACTATACTTTCTAATTTCAAGCCATTATCTCCAGACTGATTCCCTGACTTAAACTTGGTTTCCAAATTTTCCTCTGAGATTCTCAACTTGGCCTAAATTTTCCTGAGATTCTCATCTCAACATACAATGCAGTGAACAAATGCCATTTTAGTATCTTCTTTTAATATTTCCTGGATAATTTAATATTCTGCCTAAAGCATCCTTAATTATAGCAACTCGAGGTTTGAATTTGTTCTTCAGTTCCTTGAGCTTAAGAAATGCTGAATGAGTTTGGCCCTTTCGATTTTCCGACTTCAACTCCTTGCACATTTCATTGTAATATTTGACTTTGTCTTCCTGTGTTGCTTTTTGAAATCTTCTATTCATCTCTTTAATATCTTGAATTCTTCCCTCTGCTTTGGCTTCTCAGCTCTCTAGTGCAGAATTTCAAAGCCTCTTCTGACATCCATCTTGGTCTTTTCTTCCTCCTCTGTCTTTGTAATGACCTTTTGCACTCTTCCTGGATGACACTCCTGATATCTTCCCACAACACATCTGGTCTTCATTCATTAGGTGGGATAGACTCAAGGTCATTTGGTTCCCATGGATTTGATTTCATTTTCCTCAGCTTCAGCTTGAACTTTCATATGAATAGTTGTTGGTCTGTTCCACAATCAGAACCTGGCCTGGTTTCACAGCTGATATTGAGCTTCTCCAGTGGTTCTTTCCGCAGATTTAATCAATCTGATTCCTATGCATACCATCAGGTGAAATCCATAGGTACAACCTGTGTTTACATTTCTTATAAAACGTATTTGCAATGAATAAGTCATTGATTGTGCAAAATTCAGTCATTCTAGCTCCAGCTTCATTTCTGCCATTGAGTCCATGTTTTCCAACCACTGATCCTTCTTCTCTGTTCTTAACTTTTGCATTCCTGTCTCCCATTATTATTAATGCATCTTGATTGCATGTTTGATCGATCTCTGACTGTAAAATTGGTAGAAGTCTTGTACCATATTGTGATGGGAAAGGCTGCTGTTAGAGACCTCTCCAAAGTACTGAAGAGCAATGATGTCACTCTGAAGATGAAGGTGCACCTGGTACAGGCTATGGTCTTTGCAATCACCTGCTATCCATTATAGCTTGGCAGTGGCTAGGGAACAATAGAAGGAGAATTGGTGTCTTTGAGCTGTGGTGCTGGAGAAGAGTATTGAATATACCATGGACTGCTAAGAAAATGAAAAAATTCATACTGGAGAGGGTTAAACCAGGATGCTTCTTGGAGGCAAAGATTCTGAAGCTTTGTCTGACATATTTAGGACAAGTTGCAAGGAGGAACCAGTCCTTGGAGAAGGATGTCATGCTTGGGAGGGTGGAGGGACAGCACAGGAGAGAATGACACTCTATGTTGTGGCTTGTTCAGTGACTGAGGTAATGGAGGTAGGTGTGTGAGAGACAGTGAGACTGGTACAGGACAGAGTAGGGTTTAGGACTGTTGTATATAGGGTCACTATGAGTCACAGGTGACTCAATGGCACATAATACCAACAACATACTTGTACTAGGAAGCAGTCCTTAGAACAGAGCAGGGAAACACTGTATGGTTCAAAATCAGGAAAGGAGTTTGTCAGGGATGCATTCTGTCTCCATAAGTTTCAATCTATAAGAAGATCATTCAGGAAGCAGGGATTTATGAGGAGGAATGTGGCATCAAGATAGGAGGAAGACTCATCAACAACCTACATTATGCAGATGATACAACCTTGCTTGCTGAAACTGAGGAGGACCTGAAGTGCTTTCAGCAGAAGGGCAAGAGTGTAGTCTTCAATATAGATTAAAGCTTAACTTCAAGAAGACAGATTCTCACCACTAGGCCAATTGGCAGTACCATGATAGATGGAGAAGAGATTGAGGTTGCTAACAATTACAGCTTGCTCAGGTCTGCAATCAGCACTCTCGACACCATAATCAACACTCTTAATACCAGTAGTCAGTAATTCAAAAGACGAATTGCATTGGGAAAACCTGCTGTCAAGAACCTCTCCAGAGTATTTAAAAGCAATGATGTCAGTCTTGATACTAAGGTGCACCTAATCCAGGCCATGATCTTCAAAATTACTTGTTAGGCTTCAGAGACCTTGACAATGACTAAGGATGACAGAAGAAGAATTGATGCCTTCAAGTTGTGGTGCTGGAGAAGAGACGTGAACATACCATGCACCACCAAGAAAACAAACAGGTCTGTTTGGAGAGGGTGAAACCAAGTTTCTCCTGGGTGGCTAGAATTTTGAAACTCTGTCTCACATACTTTGGGCATGTTGCTGATTCTTGGAGAAGGATATCATACTTGGAAGGGTAGAGAGACAGCACAGAAAAGGAAGACCCCAGATGAGATGGATTGATACAGTAACTTGGGCAACTGGGGTGTTGATGTGTCAGAATTAGTGAGACTGGCTCAGTACAGGGTTCAGAGCTGCTGTACATGGGGTCTCTATGGGTCATAGGCTACTCGACAGCATGTAACAACAACAACAACAACAACTATGTAAGGAGTTGCACTGACAACCCAAAGGCTCATGATTTGAATTCAACAGCAGTTCCATGGAGAAAAGATGGGCAATTTACTATTGGGCAATTTACTCTCGGACAATTTATAATTTCTGAAAATAAACTAGATGGTCAACTATGAGCTGATTTGGACTTAACCACCCATTACAACAATGTTCTGTCTGTCATTATTACCCAAGAACAACGACACTTTGAATAATATCATTTCATCTCATATATTACAAACACTTATTGCAGTTTTTATTGATGTTGATGCTTTTTGGTGATTAATTTCATGAAATTTTATGGTATTTTAGCTACAATATTACATATCTGAGACAACATACAACATTTTAAAATCAGAAAATCTATGAATTCCAGAGTGCATTTCATCAAGACATTTTGGATAAGAAAGTAGACCTGAATTATGCTATTTTGCACTTGCTGAAATTAAGTCTGAGAAAAGCTAACAACTTTCTAAATAAAGAGGAAGATATGGAGCCTGTGCTCTTGTGAAAAGGAAGACATAGATGGGATTCTATAAAGGTAGGGTTAACACAGATTTTCACATTGGATTCTGGGGATATGATTTTTTGTGTTGGTGCAAAAGTCCTGTTGGGATTTTGGGATAAAACTTCTAACAGCTGTGCTATTGGCTATAACTGGGTGAAAGTGCTCTGTGAAAAGCAGCTTTCCGCAGATGCAGATAAGAAAGTAAGAAAGTGACACTGAATATACCAAAAGGCTCTCCTTCATCACAAGTATCTTATCTCATTGCCTTTGAAGATAATGAAAATATTTTACTACTTCTTTTGGTGAAGGTTTTGCAGGCTTGAATAACAGCTGCTTCACAAAACGGTGAGTTACTTCCTCTCTCCCCACCCACTCTACACTCCAACTGCTCTGGTCTATTCACCTGAAAATACAATGGCCCTTCATGCTTGTGCCTTTACTTTTGTTGTTCCTTCCACATAAAATGTCTTCATAGCTCCTCATTCCAGTAAAAACTCTTTCAGCACCTATCACATTATCGTTATTGTTATGTGCTATCAAATCAGAACTGTCTCATAGCTGACCCTCATACGACCCCATAGGTTTCAGAGGGAGTAAATTGCACAGGAGATTACCTTTCTCCTACAGTGCAGCTGGTAGGTTTGAACTGCATGCCTTTAGTGTGGCATCACACCTCCTAACCTCTAGGCCTTGAGACTTTCTTGTACAAACAGTAGTTGTTATGTGCAGACCAGTCAATTGCAACTCACAGCAACCCTTTGTACAATAGCTCTGAACTCTGCCCTGACCTGAGCCAATCTGTCTCCAACACACTTACTCTCATTGCCACAGCTATTGTGTCAAACCATCTTATCCAGGACCTTCTTCTCCTGTGCTGTACCTGCATCCTTCTGGGCATCATGTCTTTCTCTAAGGACTCGCCCTTTCTGGCAACATGCCCAACGTATGAGACAGAGCTTCAAAATTCTTGCCTCCAAAGAACAATTTAATTTTACTCTCTCCAGGACAGACTTGTTTGTTCTCTTCACGGTCCATGGTATGTTCAATACTCTTCTCTAGCCCCACAAGCTAAAGGCACCCCTTTATCTTCCTTAGTCATTGCCTATCTCTCTTATGCATAGTAAGTAACTCCATAGACCATGGACTGGATCAGGCACACCTTAGTTTCTAAAATAACATTGTTGCTCTTCAGCACACTGGACAAGTCCTTGACAGCAGATTTTCCTAATGCAATTCATCTTTTGATTTTGTGACTGCCAATGCCAAGTGTGTTGGTTGTGGAATCAAGCAAGCTGAAATTGTTAACAATCTCAGTCCATCTATCATGGTGTTGCCAAGTGGCCTAGTGGTAAGAATCTTAGTTTTCTTGATTTTGAGTTTCAATTCATATTGAAGACTGCAGTCCTTAATCTTCTGCAACAAGCACTGCAAGTCCTCCTCAGTTTTGGCAAGCAAGTTTGTGTCATCTGTATAATGCAGGTTGTAAGTTGTTGATAAATCTTCTTCCAATCTAGATGCCACATTGTTTCTCATAAAGTCTATTCTTCTGAATGATCTGTTCCACACAAAGATTGAAAAGATATGGGAAAGGGTGTTTCCCTGATGCACTTTTTTTTGGATTTTGAACCATGAATTGTTTTCTTTCTCTGTTCTTTGCATAGTCAACGAAACACAGATAGACCTTCCTCTGGTTGTTGTTGTTATGTGCCATCGAGTCACTTGTGACTCATAGTGGCCCTTTGTACAACAGCCCTAAACCCTGCCCTGTACTGTGCCAATCACACTGCTTCGGATACACCCATTCCGATTACCCTAGTCACTAAATCATTCCACCTCATAGAGGGTCTTCCTCTCCTGCACTGTCCCTCCACCCTCCCAAACATGATGTCCTTCTCCAAGGACTGGTTCCTCCTTACAACATATCCAAAGTATGTCAGATGAAGCCCAAAATCCTTGCCTGCAAGGAGCAGCCTGATTTAACTCTCTCCAGGATGAATCTGTTGGTTTTCTTAGCAGTCTTTGGTACACTCCATACTCTTCTCAAGCACTAAAGCTCAAAGGCATCAAGATCCATCTGACATTGGCTGTCATATCCCTAGTGGCACAGCCCCTTCTAAACCCAGCTTGTATTTCTATTAATTCTCTGTTGATGTCCAAACATAATACAGTATATGGTACTGTACCCAGGAAAATACAGTGGAAAAAGAATTGTTTGGTCTAGCCACTCAGAGAATTATTCCAAAAGGAGTTACAACTTGAAAGATGAATTGGTTTTTAGAGGACTAAATGAAAAAGAAATGTAGCATCAGGATTGGAGGTAGACTTATTGTACATAATACAACCTTGCTTATAAAAAATTAGGAGCACAGAAGCACTTACTGATGAAGAATTAATTTAGATCCTTAGGTATAGATTATAAAAATCTCTGTAACTGTATTGATAAACAGTTGTAAAAAATTTAATTTAATTTTACAAGAATCTCATTTTACTTGAATCCACAATCAACACCTATAGAAGCCATCAGTAAAGCAAATACGTTATATTGGGCAAATTTAATGCAAAGGTACTTTTTAAAGTGTTGTAGAACAAAGGTGTTACTTTGAAAAATAAGGTGCACCTGTCCCAGCCCACAACATTTTAAATAACAAATACATGAAAAAAGATTAACAATGCATTTGTAGGACTGAAGAATGTGTGCTTTTAAATTGTATTGATAAAGAATATAAAATATATCACAGATTGCAAAAAGAACAAACAAATTTGTTCAGCTGTGATATTCCTTAAAGTTAATGATGGTTAAAAAAAAGTCAATTATGGTAAGAGTTTGTCCCATATCCCTTGGGAATGCTATCATGAAGATCCAGTCCCTGGAGGGCATCATGCTTGGTCAAGTGGGTGAACATCAAAAGAAGACTCTCAACAAGGTGAATTGACACAGTGGCTAGAACAGTGGGCTCAGGCATGGCAAAAATTACAGGGGGAAAACCCCATGTATGAGAATCCAAAAGGGAGGCAGGGGGGAACAGAGGGGAGAAGTTGAGTGGGAGGGGGTGTGGTAATCATAGATAGGGCTGCACAATTTGATAGGAAGAGGGAGGGGTGGACAAAGGAAATAGGAAAGATCCAGTGTGAAAATTCAATGTATATGAACTTTGTAAGTACACTAGTATAAAATTAAAATTTTATTAAGAAAAAAACATAGTGAGATTGGCACAAGACCAGACAGTCTATCGCATGTGGAGTCAGTATGAGTCAGAACCAACTCAAAGGCACCTAAAAGCAAGCAGAAACACAGACTGTTTCTCCATTATCATGGTCCTTGTGAAGCCATTCTCATCCAGAAGGGAAACTCAGATACTAATTTTAGTTGCATTTTATTTTCTTCCATTTGCAGTAAATTTTAACAGCTCTTCCTGGGCTCACACTATTCTGGTTTCTCTTAAGTCTCTGTGCTTTTGATTTGGGATTTGCATATACTTAAAGCCTTTTGAATTTGCTTACCAAAAGAAGAATGTCCAGACTTGCAATAAACCCTCGGCGTCGACATTGCTGTTCTTTCTCCCTCGTGGAACACAGGCAATGTACAACCATTTGGGCAAATTTAAGAAATGTTAAGTGCTGTCAAGTCGTAGACAAATCACAGGAACCCTAAGAACAAAAGATCTGAAATTAATAATAAATTTAAATTTTAAAAAAAAAGAACAAAAGATCTAAACAACTGAATACTTTTTATTGTTTCTTCAAGTTCATTGAGTTTCCAGAGGCAAGCTGTTTTGGAAGTGGATGCCATTGGAAGTGGAGTGCCTGCTTCCAAGCTTGTTTTAATGGGAGAACTCCACCAAACACTGTCTACCATGGGCCATTATTGCATTTGATGCATCATTGTCAGTGTTTAGCATCACAGCAACCACGAGTTACCTCTGTACAGCAATGCACAGACCAGTGCTATACCATGTAGATGAGAGTTTGACCAAAAAAATTAGAAGGCCTGAGGGTTGCAGATTAAAATCACCCATTTTTGACTTGGTAGCATAACTTTCTATCCACCAGGCCCACGGAGCTCTCTCTATGTTGTTGGTGGTGTTAACTGCCATTAAGTCGTAGATGACTCATAGCGACCCTACAAAAGAAAGACCTGAACACTTATATGACGTTCATAGTTTCTATAGGTTCATAGGTTTTTCAGAGGCAAGCTATTTTGGAAGTGAACGCCACTCCTGCTTCCAAGCATGTTTTAATTTAGAAATGAGGTAATTGATTTTGTAGACAATAATAAATAATGCATCAAGACAGCACCATATCCTTTGGAGTTTGTGTTACTTATATTTTTATGAGAACTTTCACATATGAATGCATTAATTTTCAGAATTCCTTCAGTCCTTGTCCACTCACTACCGGTGGCTGTATGGTGTAATCCATGTCATTGTGGATCTTAACTGAGGGAACTGACATAGAGCATCATCTGGCAGCAGGATAAACTAACAGAGTGTGAACTGAATGGTTGGACATAGTTTATAGACCAAGAATCAGAACATAGGATATGACACAGAATTTATCCTATTTACAAATTTATTGTGAAAGAGCATGATACTTTGTAACTTGCTCTGATTTTCATATTACCTTTCAAATTATATTAATCAGAACTATTTTGAAATCCAAGATAGTCATAATAGCTATATAATTGATTAAAAATAAAAGAATACAGCAATTATGGCACACAACAATGTTTTGCTTATGTTAATGTAAATAAAAAAAATCTCAATGAGTGTTTTTAAAGCAAATGCAAATTCCTTCCCTGGAGTTTTTGCTTATTTGTTCCAAGATACAATTGTTGTTGTGTACCATCAAGTGGGAACCGACCCATAGCTAATCCTCCAGCAGATTTTCAGAGACAATAAATGACACGGGAAGAGATTGTCCATTCTTCTCCCATGGAGAAGCTGGTGGATTAAAATCATATGCTTTTGGCATTGCAAACAACATTTTTTTTTACTTTACAACTACATTTTTTAATAATAAAATAAATGTAGATTGGAACTACATTTTGTATAGTATCTGGAGTAGGTGTGACTTACGCAAAATTGGTTATGAAATATTTCCAAAGCAAAGAAAGAATTACAGACTGGAGCTAACTTTGTAAGTAAGCAAGATTGGGCAGCGTTTCGGTCTATTGTACATACAGTGACTGTGAGTCAGGGTTG